CGTAAAATTGAATATTATAAGAATTAAATAAAGTACTTTTCTCTATTCCCGTTATCGCCACTAATACCATCACTAAAAATTTAATTTATATATAATACCTGAAGAAAAACTTCCTGGTTGACCCGTAACATCATAAAAAAATCGATCTCCGACCTTAGATCTATAAAAATTATCAGCAATTATACATCTAGCTGTAGGACCTACAATAGCGTCATCTTGAGGTTTTTCTAAAAGCAACCCAACCATAAGATCAATGTCATCAACTGTTTGGTAATGTGTTTTTAATTTTTCAATATGCTAAAAATATATTAAAATATGTATTATAAAATTATTCAATTTTTTATCAAGATAATGTATATTAAATCTATTAAAGCTTAGATAATGTTATTTATTAAGGAAAGATAATAATCGAAAATAACAACATTTCTTCTGAATATTTAAAAATTTACCTTAATATGTATAACATCTCGTAAGTCTTCAAAATTAGATGCAAGTGGTAATCCACAAATATGTCTCATTATATTATAAGGCTGCATACCTGTATCACGACCTCTTTGTATATCAAAAGATAGTAAATCAACTCCTGTGTATCTCGGCTGGAATGCGAATGCAAAGTTGTAATTTGATATCTAAAATAAAGAATTAACGTATTATACTAAATGATATCTAAATGTATTCAATTTTTAGAAAAACTAACAAAAAAATTATAAGAAGGTTGTGACACGCGCATTGGTGTTTCTAAAAAACCTCTTATAAACTTATCGTAGTTATCATCAACTAAAAGTAAGTTAGGTTTACTCATCCAATCAGTTATAATAAATGTTGATTCTTCAGTGTAATTTTCATTTATTAATCTAAAAATTGCAAATATTTAAAATAAATAAACAATTTTTTGTTCTGATATCTAAGAATTTTTTTTTACTTAAAATCAATAGGTACAACATTATGGAGAACTCGAAAAGCGGCTGATGCCATTTCTGCCGAAGTAGATGGGTTAACCGTGGGATCATACACAGTTTGATTTTCAAATCCATACATAGTGTGATAATCTTCTCCTAAAAATTCCAAATAAATACCTTGCTTGATGATAAATTATTTTAATAAATTATTCATAAATATTTACCTATTACAATTGGCAAAAAATCTTCATACGCAATACGTTGAATTACAGCTATAACGATCCTACGTGATTCTTGATAAAGTGTTTCATCATCCCATTGAGGATTCAAAATTGATAAATTTGATGCTACAAAATTATGAAACCTCACTACCATAGTTTGAATGACCGATAATCCCATGTTTTGATTACTGTCTGAAATATCCCCTTCATTACTTGTATTTGCTATAATTTTAAATAAAAACAAATTATTTATAATTTTTGAACATTCATAACTATAATAATAATTAAAATTATATAACTCTCTCATATGAAAAGTACAGTTTTTCCTTATAAATTTAATAATATATTTTACAACACATGGTATAATGTATTTCATAGGCAATGATGGATTATACTTTTACAGGGGCGTGGGAAAACAAAATTACAATTACATTTATAAATTACAATTTATGCGGGCCTTCAAAGCCTGTTAGGATTTTTTTAACTGTCAAACTACCTCTACAATACTATTTGCTAATATATTAATAAGTTGCAATTAAAATTTATTATGGTTAACTAAAACAAAATCAAACACTGCTAATCATTTCATTAGAGGTAAGTGAGATTGGTAAAACTTATTAATACTTTATTTGAGACTTTTTAAGTTAATTATTTTTAACATTTTTTACCATTAGTTACAAATGATAAATTCTTATTGTTTATTAAAATAATTTACATTTAAAAATTCCAGTTGGCATACTACTCATACTACTCTTTAAAGTTATAACTTTTTATACTCTTTTAAGTATATTATTAAAATTTAAGAGCTTACCTCATTATCCCCAAATTATTAATGACGCTTGTATAAAGTTTAGGTAAAATAATTACAATCGAAAAATAAAAAAATTTACATAAAATTAATAACATACATAATAATGCATGTTAAACAAAAGTAATGTAATACAAACCTGTTTCAAATTCAATAATTTCGTCTGATGTAATTTTAGGACGTGATTTAATAGATACAATCGGGCAAAACACTTGACCATCGTCTCTCTTGCTTATTCTTAGCATTCCACTTTTATGAGATCGCAAATTATTTGCCGTTGTATCATTAAAACCATAAACTTCAGAAGCATCGAGGAAATGTGTATTTTTATTAAACTGAAATTATAGTTAGTAAAAAATAAGATTTATTAAATGGATTTATTAAATTTAGTTAACACACATATTTATAATCAGGAAACGTACATATATGCATTTATACATTTTTGTTAAGTTACTCTGAACAAATCATTGACTTGGTGAAATGTATGTTAATTAGCTTTAAAACAACACAATGTACAACACAATTAAAGATACAGTTATGTAAAGGCATTTTTGGAATTTATACTCACAAAACGAAAAATATTGTGAATATGTATATATTACACACATATATATATATATATACATATATATATATATATATATAATAAAACTATTTATCAAAATATATTTAAGGAGTTGATATTGCTTTTGGAAAAATTCAACAAAATTAAAATTAACTCCTTTTCAAATTAAACATATTCTACAGATTTTCATCAAAGCGTTTATTATAGTAGTGATTGTAATCACTTTCAGATATTATTTATACTTGTGCCAATCATGTGGTATTCCTATTGTGCCACAATCCCACTGTCATAGTTTTTTAAATTCAAAATTTATAGTTAATAATATACAGCGTGTTTCTAAAGTCTCCATCTAATTACGAATTGATATTGCTCAGAAATCGTTAATCGTAGTTTAACGACCCATATAGTAATGAAAAAATACGAGAGTTAAGTTTATTTTATGCAGCTGATAAGCTGTGTAATGATTAGTGAATTACTGCCAGCTTATTAAAGAAATAGTGGCACAAAAGTCTACACGTCGCACTGGAATATCGAATACAACTGATACAGAACCTCTGACCAAACGGCAACAAAAAAGTATCAACTTTTGCAATTTCATTTACGAAAAACAAGAAGAGGAAAAAACATCTGTATCACTCATTGTGTTATGTGCTTAAGCTACTTTTTATATAGATAGGTTAACCGCCATAATATTAGGAATTGGGCTTTAGAACAATCGCACGCAACTATTGAGCAGAGATTTATCAAAAGTTAATGTTTTCTGTGCAATTTCCAGAAAATAAATTTACAGTCCATTTCTTTTTCTAGGAAAACAATAACAAGTAGCATATACCTTTACATGTTACAAGCTTGGTTGTTCACAAAATTACATACAGATAGCGATTTTTGAGCTTCATTCCACTTTTATATCTACATTTTTAATATAAATAAAAATTATTGAAATCGGATGATGACTTTTGAAACACGCTGTATTTCAGTAAGCTATTTAATTCCTGTACTCAATAGTTAAAAATTCATTTAGCTGATACATCAATTTACACAAAAGCTATTTGATTTTTCACTATTAAGTGTCCACAGTTAGTATGGTTCATCATTAGATACCTAGCATTAAGATATTAAATTTATTTTTATGAACGATGCTCTATAAAACTTTGCTATTTACTTTATTTAACAAATATTTCTCATTTGATCACTGATTTTTAAAAGATTACTATTTTTTATGATACATCCATCCTTTTTAAGAAACCGACGAAAAATCATTACAGCAGTGCTCAGTACTGTGGTAAAGCAATATATTCTTTCTATAAGGCATCCTATTTCATAAAAGTTACCTACTAGTCCCAAAAATTGGAAATGACTAGATGTATGATCAATGGTACATTATCAAGTTCGTACCATATTTGATGAAAATGGAAAATATTTATTACACTCAAAATTTCAACCCTTTTTACGTATTAACATCAATCAATTGCACCCATATTTTGATAACCTATTATTTTATATAAAGCAACAATTCTAGAGGCATATTTAACAAATTTCCAAAAAATATTTGAAATATTTAAATAAGAATCACCTTAATAATTTTCCAATGTATCTTAAAAATTATAAGATGTTAAAGAGCATTATGTAGCAATTCATTTTTTTTTTTCATTTATACTTCAAACACATAATTATGTTGTAAAATGTATAAAAAGTTATACAGTGATCTTACAAAAGTAGTAGGTGTCAATGAACATCCAAAATCATATGATGTCTTTGATCGAATAGATCCTATACAAGTTTTGTTATGATTTCCATATACAGGGTCATCATTGTCAACTTCAACCGACTCAATACATGATGGATATTTTTTTATCATTTCAGATACTGGACAACAATCAACGATTTGACCTTAAATAAAGTATTAAATAAACCGTCGTAAATAAGGCTTTAGAGAGAAAGTAACTTAAACTTACCATTCAAGTCACGTAATACTTTTACAGGTAGACTCGAAATATCATGTGCTATCATTTGACCAAATGGTACAATAAATAAGTTATTATCGTCTATTAGTCTTTTTTCTTGATTCAAAAATATGTCCAATTGTAATTTTCTACTGTTAGGCAAAGGTAAACCATATTTTTGTGTACGGAAACTGTTAATACCTAAATATTTCAAAATACAATATTAAAATAAACAGTAAGGAAAATATTCCTTGTTACAATTTAAAATGTACCATCAGAGTAGTTTGCGTTCATCAAACGGAAATACGGAGTTTGTGCTGCTCCGTATGTAGGTATAGCTAAATTATTGCAAGAACCATTATAACTCCTATATTTCTCATTCGGATTACATTGGACTACTGGAGCACATAATTTTAAGTATGTTTCATTGTAAGTGGCTACACTGCGTATGTGTAATGGATTAGATGATGTACTCAATGGTATCTATAGACAGTCCATTAATGTAATTATAAAAAAAGATTATAACTAAATATAGAAATGCAGTAAATACAATAAATCAGTTACTTTTAAAATAGCATCATCATTTTTTGTACCGTGATAAAATGAAATGAAAAGAATAATGAAAGCAATTATCAAAAGTATACATATCAACCACAATATTTTCCACAAATACACTTTTTTTCTCTGCGTTTTTTCGCCCATTAGGTATCTATATAATAAATAAAAAAAATTAGATTTTGTATTGAATCATAAAAATCAAATTGTTTTTTTTTAGTTTTTTTTGATTTTACAAATCTTGATAATAACATTCGGGTTGGGTTGTTTTCAGATACATTTTATTCTACATCTGTCTGTTTTTATGGTACCGTTTCAAAAAGTTCGTTCTTATATCATAACTGCAATATCACACTATTTCGAGATTTTCTCTTTCGAAATTCATACTAAATGTAATATTGGCAGTTATTTTAAGTGTTAAAAATCATTGTTTCCTTGTATTAATGACTGTTAAAAAACTTATTTCCAAACAAAATTGTGTATTCATATCTTTTACCTGAATTTATTCGAAAAAGCTAGATATACGGTTTAATACATTTTTTTTTAAATGTAATATGCACCTAGGAAAGTTTTACTATGCCGTTTTCTTTTTGTTGTTTGTGTATTAGTACTACTCTATTATTAATCAGATTTTACTCAGCAATACGTTTAAAGATCAAAAATTGTATCTAGTTGAAGTTATCACTAGCTTAGTTTTAACAAATTCCCCTCTTTCTTCATAACAAAGGGGAATATCTTAAAAAAATAGAGTAACTGCAAATGTTGTTATAAAATAATTGATATTTTAATAAAAGGCAATTACAATCTAATAGCGTTATTTTTTTCTAAAAATATTTAAAGAAATATAATATTATTAATACTAAAACAGAAGTTTGTATGACTTCATCAAATAGAATTTATTAAACTTATATAAGAGTTCATTTTGTACTCCTAATTTATGGTTAATATATTAACTAATATTAAATATTAAATTAGTGACCAATTGTAACATCACAAATCCGAAGGTGTACCATTTTTGATTTTTTTTATTGTTTGCTCATCTGATATTTTTTTTTATTTTGTAAGAGAATGCGCGATGGAAATTGTTTTGAGACAAATGTGTCAAGAACTAATTTTTTCTGCTAATGATTTCTAAATAAATCAAACAAAGAAAATAAATACAATTAAAATCAAATTGTTTACCGGTTTTCTCCTTCCCAAAAGACTGGCCGTTATCGGTTTGAAATTATTGTAATATGATATAGTTATTTTTGTTGAAATTTCTGATGAGAAATTTTTTTTGAAAACAGACATACAATTTTGTAAAACGAAAAAGTTATTAATTTTATCTTTGGCTTCACCAATTACAGCAAATTATTAAAATTCAATTTTCAATAATTTTTTTATTGTCGTTATATAAATAATTTAAATTGTAAATCTCTTTCAATTTTTTTAAGCAACTAATTACCTAACAAAAATACATTAATTAAAGTGCATTGCTACTAATTAAGAAATGTATTCTAGTCATTTGTGATTCGAACTAACTTAACTTAATTTAAAATTGTTTTAGCTACCAAAATTTTATTTACTTAAGTTTAGTTGTTATTGCTGTGTTATTAGCTTTGATTCAAATCTGAGATGGTATTAATTTTACTATGATGTGTTTATTAATATAATTTATTTTTTGTGTGTCTGTTAACCCTTATCCTCAACTTTCATTGAACCGATTTTGATGAACAATACGTCAAAAGATCACAAATTGTATCTAGTCGAAAAAATTACCATCAAAAATTGAAAAAATTCCACTGCTCCCCGTAAATGGGTGAAATTTCCAAAAAATTATATTTTAAAAATCGGTAATTTTTGACAATTTTTCAACTTTTCTTACTTAAAATTGCCATAACTTTTTTGAAAAATGCATGAACAGAAATTATTTTTATTGTAATTATAAAAGTTTTATTACATTTTCGAAACCTAAGTTGAAAAATTAAAATTTTTGTGCAGAAGTTGCTATTCACCCTTTATAGGCAGGTAATGGGTGGGTCAAATTTTCAAAAAAAATTTAATCAAATAAAAAGGAACTACCTAGGGTTTTAATTAAAAAAAAAATGATTTTGATTCGTTCAATTTTCAAAAAGTTAAGGCAATTTTTAGAAAAAAAAGTGAAAAAATGTCGAAATTTACCGATATTAAAAATCGTAATTTTCACTATTTACGGGGAACGAGAACAAAATTTTCAATTATTGATGGTAATGTCTTCAACTAGATACGATTTTTGATCTTATGACGTATCGTAGAGAAAAATCGGTCCAGTAAGAGCTTTGAAAAAGTAGTGACTGACATAAAAAAATAAATAAATAAAATAAACACATGATGGTAAAATTAACTTTAAAAATTAAAATCGACTTCGCATCGAAGCTTAAAGTTATTATTTGGTTTTCGATAATAACATGTATTTATGATATGTTAGTCGACATTTTGATAAATTTTGCTCCACAAGAAAACTTCTTGTGGAGCAAAATTTGACGCCCGCGCAGTTGTCCCGTTAATGTTATCACCTATTTTTAAAGTGTTTATTACGTATAGATACACAATGTATAAAAAGAAATATTTTTTATTAATAAAAAGGGATTCAAAACAAATAACAGATTTTTTTTCAAAAAAATCTAAAATATGTGTTAATAAAAGTTATGAGCAAAATACCTTATTCATGAAAATTTTTTGTGCCCCCTAATACATTGCTAATACTTATAAATTTATAATTTTTCAATTAAATTTATTTGATGTGAATTTAAAAGAATGCATTGCATTTAAATTATTATAATTATTAATACAATAAATATAGATAATATTTATTATTTATATTAATTATTTATTCTTATTTTTTTTTTATTTTTATTAATAATAAAATAAATAAATTGTCAATAATAAATGATTAAATATAATTTATTATATTATATATAAATAAACTCCCTGTGGAAAAGGGATAGGATTACTTTCACGGCACCTCTGTCAGTTGTAAGAGGCAACTAATAAGGTGACTTCAGGCTTCACCAACAGCCGGTGAACATTTTTATCAAAAAGGTATGAGGGTTCCTGGACAAAACATATGCGGATTGTTCCATCTCAGATGTACACGGGCACAACAGGCGAAAGGAAATAAATTGTTAGAAACCGAGAAGACAATAAAGTGTTTGATACCAGTCGGACAACATGTGCGGTAGCTGTATCACCATTTATTATTTATAGTACAGGCTTACACAACGTTTGTAGTGTCAAAGGATGAAGGAATATTATCACTCATATCTAGACTGAGCTTGTGTATAAGGGAGAAAGATAGATATAAAGTAAGAATTGGTACGTGGGATGTTGGATTATTAATTGGTAAAAATAGAGAATTAGTAGAAATATTTAAGAGGAGAAAAGTTAATATTTGCTGTGTGCAGGAATATATAATATAAATAAATGTAATAGTTATAAATTTAATTAATAATAAATATTAATATAAATAAAAATAAATATTATCTATAAACAGGGTTTTTAGTAACTAAGGAAACGGGTCAATTGTTATAAATAATGAGAACAATAGAAATCCGTCTCCTTACTTACTGAACATTCTATATACTTTTATTAATAGATGATAAAATAAGTAATAAAGTATATTTTGTATTATAACTTAGCACTGCATTTTTAAAAATAAAAGTAATGTTATTTTAAATGTAACAAATGATTGTACATAAAAAAATTTTAAAATACTACAATAGATGCAATTTTACACGATATCATCATAACGTTGAATCAAAAACTTATATTAGTTATATCAGTTAATAATTTTAATTAATTTAAATTGAAAATGAAGTTTTTAGTTATATTTTTTTTTTTTTATTCCAATAGAAACCTAATATTCTAGCAGTTGAATGACTCTGAAAGAAGTTTCACTTCATCCGGGCACACTCGTAACACGTACTGTTTTTTTCTTCCTCGTTTGCTACAAAACTGATAAATTGTTATCTTTGTTAAAGTAAAATCATGTTATTCTAATATAATACTTACATATAATTAATTATTTCTTATTTACATTAATTTTGGAGTAAATGATAGATTTTCAATAAACATCAGAAGTTTATTAATATAGTAATTAACTTTCTTTTTTATATTATTTATGTTGTTAAAGTAACATTTTTTCTATTTCAATATAAACCAGATGAAAAGTTAAATATAAAAAAAAAATATAATTAAAATCTTAATTTTAACTAACATAAAAGTTTATCTTAGTCAAAAGAAAGTTCTATGAACTTTATTTAATATTATACATTATTATAACACTTATATGTATCATTTCACCATTGTAGAATAATGTAAAAAATAGCTTAATCGTTAAATCTTTAATAAGATAATCATTGAATATTATCATACGACATATATTAAATTTCTCAAACTATGAACTGTGTGAACTAAGCAATGGTTGTAAAAGGTTTATAATGTTACTTATATTTATCTAACAAAGTTTTTAATTTATTTAATTTTAACCTGATAGTATTTAAATACGCTATTATTAAATGGCATGACATAGCAAAATTACATAACAGTATTATCACTTTGAATAATACCTTGAATAACATAAGGCCACTCGTAATATAAAAGATTGGAACTTGAACGTACACATAGATTTTATATTATGAATTGAAATTAAATTCTCAGTTACGTGCATCATTTAATTTGCATAATATGAACTAGTGATATATTCGATATATTTATACAAGAAGAGTTATATAACATTTGTACTAATTGTTTGTACTGAATAGTTTGAATACAATAAATTTTTATACATAAAATACCCAATTGTTTGGGTATTTTATGTATAAAAGTATAAATTAAAAGTATAAAACAATTGTTTTGTAATTTTCCTATTTGTTGAAAAATAGTTTTTTTTTTTTTTTTTTTTGAGAAAATAATTAAATATTATGTTATTGAATTGAATAATGATTAAATTAAATAAACTTTGTCATTATCATGATATTTCGAGTAAAAAATCTGGATAAACAGTTATTGATAATATTGCTCGTTAAAACTTGTTCAATACTAACTGTACTTTTATTCTATAAATGAGGTAAGAGTACACTTTTATTTTAGTTCGTTACTCATTAAATATAGTTCAAATCTCACTATCAATACTTAATTTGTATTTTTTGATAGTGTTTCTTCTGGTTAAATAAATAAAAATTATTTATAACTACCTCATAATACAAGACATGTGATAGAAAAAAAATACGCACTTTTACCCCCAGTTACGTGAACTTTTCAAAACTTATTGATTCGACACATTTTATTCACGTTATATAGTGGTAAAAATCAATAAAATAATTAATTATCACAATCGTGTTCAGACCATTTTCGAAAGTGGTGTCCAAGGGGCTCAACGGGAAAACTGTTGGTTACCGGATAGGTGATCGTACGGGACTTCAACAGTTACACATTGGACCCTTACTTGTTCAATCAATCATAATGAAATTGCATCAGTTCGATAACCGGTGTAAAAATCCTGTCAAATCAATAAGGTAAAGTCTACCTCAAATAGTTGGGATAAAAGGCTAAGGAGATGATCCCAATCAGAAATTTCTGTTATGTGCCAGCACTGATAACAGGCGCAGTACTGACACCTGACCTTTGGCTAACCCGTACTAGCGAAACAAAGCTGTAACAGACGAACGGTTGATCGAAAAAAAAAATTATAAGCGCAAAGTTGTTTGTATTTTTATTTTAAATCATAATAACAAGCTCGAAATAGAGGTTACCATTTAAGAAAATTCAAGTTAATGTTATTTAACCTTGAAGGGATGAAAAAAATTATGTTTTTACTACATATTATTGTAGAGTTTCTTGAATCAAACACAATATTTTCCTTACCAAAAATTTCAAATTTTCAATAGTTATCAAGAAAATGAGTGTCTTATCCCTAATTAATCATCTTGTTTAAATAAACTCCAATAATATATAATTTGAACAAAAACTAGTTTTTGTAAAAAATGTAATTATGTTACTGGACCTATACGAGGGTCCATGAAATTATTATAATAATCCAAAAGATATGGCAGCACTATTACCAATCTATCTAATATACTAGCAGTTTTAACTAATACTGATTATACCTGGAACTTATGTCAGTACTTGTAAAGCATTATCATCCCAGACATATGAGGCATCATTGACCAGTCTAGTGCAGTACTGCGCCTGTTGTTAATTTCTGATTGGGATGTTGGTGACATTTTAAGAAAAATAATTACAGTTACTCTATCTGACCACCTCCTCCAGTTTACTTTATTATAATAATTTTTGTAAGTTTCACAATTAGAGCCTGAAGACACGCCTATGTTTACAATTATTACTTTAATTATATAATAGAAGAGCAAAAAATATAATCGTATAAATGCAGTTTAGCTCTCATGATTTTTTTTTCAACTTATACGTTTTATTTAAACTGATTACGAATTTGCAAAATTAAAATATAGGTCAAAAGAGGTTAAAAAGTTATAGCACCCTATAGTTAGTATTTAACGCTATTATGATCTACGCGACAATTAACATTCTTCCTAATGTAGTTTTTGTCAACGAAGGTAAAATGCTCCTATTAATATAACTAGGAAGTAATTTTAGAAATTTTAAACTTTTACTCCTCTTTTTTTAAACATGTCTTCTTTACCCGAAAAAAATCCCGTTTTTCTTTGTAGTTGAATATAGTTCAGGGTTTTTAGCTCTTAAGTGGAGAAATAAAATTATATAACTAGAAATTATTGTAGAGTATTTTTATAAACATTAAAATTTTTCAATAGTTTCTAAGACAATGGTCTAAAAAAAAAAAATGAAATTCGTGTGGGAGCTTAACCGCATAATATACCGATAGAATATTCTGGGAAATTACATTTTTTATTGCCGATAAATAAATATTTTAAGATTCTGTATAGTACACAAGCCAAATAAAAGTTAAATAATAATAATTTAATATTTCTTATTGTGCTAATGAAATAATAACTTAATTTTAAAAGTAAAAAATAAATTAAAATTCCATATAAAAGTAAAATACAACCAATAGCCTGGGATCCTGCGATTCGATAATAATAGAAAACAATAAAGTACTTACTTTGTTTCATCTAATTTTAGTATATTATTCATTTTGATTTTACCTATCAATACTACGTTTATCTATAATACACTAAGAAAACAGTTGATATTTCTATTAAATAACAAGAATATTACTTTATTAAACAAATATAAAGGTACGAAGAGTTGGCAGATATATTTAAATTGAATACCGACATATCTTATAACTAAAAAGCATTGGTAAACTGCCAAAAATAGTGGGGATACTAAAAGAACCAGTTCCTTTGTAGTCGATAAACATTATACATTTACTTTATATTTTAAAACTTGTAACATACAACCAGGTAGTTTTAAATATAGAAAAAGGATATAATAAGATAATTAAAAAACCCACCATTACTCACTATATTTAAATGCTATTTATTTTTATTTTTTTTATTCTATCAATATTCAGGTTCTTTTTAATTATTTTTCTTTTTTTTTTTTTAAAAAATTATAAAAATAATAATACTAAGTTATTATTATTAATTTTTAACACTTTTTTTACCAAAGAAATTATGTCGAATCGATAACACGTTTCAAACAAATAGTAATTAATCTAAATATCACTAAGAATATCACTTTCATAATATTTATAATTTATAATATATTTAATTATACTACAAATATAATAAAGATATAACTGTTATAATTAATATTTTATAAATTACTGCAAATATCAAGTTTAATGTAAGAAAAAATTATCTCTAACGGTAGATTTTAAGGATAACTTACATAAATTAAATAGAACCTATTATTTTTTTTTTAATATTTAATGAAAAATAGGCCAAACAAAATATTGATTGGTCAATAACCAGATTAATTTTATTACTTTGTGAGATATTAGCATTTAAAGATTTAAAAAAACCCAGCACAAGAAGGTCACGGCACAGTTGGCATAGTTGGATTAAGTATAATGATATCTGACAGTTATTAAAATCATTTCATAAAAAATGCTTCAATGCAATTCTTTAGATAGTGTTTAATTTAAAAAAATTAGTGGATTATTCCAAAAACTACATGATTTGATATTTCCTTATTAATATATTGATTAAGATAAAGTATGTCGAAGGAAACAGGGATATAAATATTTTTTCTCATAAAAAAATTGTGTTGATCCATACACTTTTAAATAAGTTATAGTTTTATAAAATTAAAAATTAAAAATGTAAAAAATAAAATCTAGAATTTTCACCGTGAAGACAAAATAAAGTCCGAAATTTTTTAGATTTGATGCGAAGCTGAGAAGGTATTGGATTTACTATGATGTGTTTTTTTTTTGTGTCTGTTACCACTTTTTCTCAGCTCTCACCAAACCAATTTCTTTCAACGATACTTCAAAAGATTACAAATAGTATCTAGTTAAAGACATTACCCTTAAAAATTGAAACAATTTCCCTCGTTCTCAGTAAATGGGGGAAACCTCCAAAAAAATTACAAATTTAAAATTCGCTAATTTTCGAAATTTTTTAAATTTTTTTTACTAAAAACTTCCGTAACTTTTTCAAAAATGAACATATCAATATAATTTTTTTTTATGGATGTTTGATGTCTTTACCTATCATTTGGTATATTTTTTTTATTAATCTGACACTTAACCTGCCCACAGGGGGATATTCAAAATGAGACAACTTTTTTACAAAAAATTAACTTTTTCAACTTAACTTTTGAAAATGTTCCGGAAAGTCTGCCACTTATCTATATATATGTTAAATTAAAGTTAATGTAATGTACTTTATTATGGAAAAAAAAATTTGACCTTTGGACTTGACTTTGTGGTGAAAATGGCTACCGAATGCTATTTTTGTGTGAAAATTCTCGATTTTATTTTTTACATTTTTAATTTTATAATGCTATAACTTATTGAAAAATGTATGGATCAACACAATTTTTTTGTGAGAAATAATATTTTTTAATAATCCCTTTTTAATTCGACATACTTTATCTTAATCAGGATATTAATAAGGAACTAGCAGATCATGTAGCTTTTGGAATAATACACCAATTTTTTAAAATTAAACACTATCTAAAGATTTGCATCGAAGCGTTTTTTTTTTTTATAGTGATATTAATCACTTTACAGATACCGCGACTCCCCTGTGCTGGGTTTTTTTTTTATTGCTGCAACTATGGCGCATTTTTGAAAATAATAATACTATAGTTTTAATAAGATACGTTTTGTGATCTTTTAACCTATCGTTGAGATTAATCAATCCAGTAGTAATGGAAGTAATAACGTACGCGTACACAAAAAAAAATTTTAAAATTTTAAAATTTAAAAATAATTAATATTTTTAATAAAATGTAAAAAAATTAATTATTGAGATATAGCTATAGACCTAACGTATAACTATTATTTAAAAAAAAAATCAACTAAAAATATTAACTGGATCAAAAGTTATTTAAGTTGTCAGTGAGTGATGGGCCACC